GACATGTAAACACACTGCAGGATGGCTAGATGACAGTTAAACGATGAGGTGGGGGGAGAAAAGGATGAAACAAGCTCTGTCTTTCCCACACGCCCCAACACCACTCGCCGCTCTCCTCTGCTCCGACTAATTATAGTTAATTTGATTCCGCTCTCCCATTAACACATGTACATATTCTGGCCTCAAAAAGTAAATTAGATTGGGATTGTTTGGTCCCGGTGAGAATGTGTTTTTTTTTTCCGAGCTGGCGGAGATTGGCCCAATAGAAGCGAGTGAAAAGAGGTCAGAGGAGGATGTTTGGGAAAATTAGAAGTGTGATGTGTCTGGGAAGCAGACAGCTACTTGAGTACCCCTGACACATGCATACATACGCATACTGAGCTTGACTTTGTGCTGCTTGTCATTCTGCTGCAGGACATTGCTGTAGAAATGCAGTGTTGACTGAAGCTTATTTTAGAGTGTTCAAATGGGGCTTTAAAACCATATTGTGACATTTTGATGCTACAAATTCTGTGGCTGTGTATGAAAATAGGATGACTTGTACACTGATTTGTTTTATTGGACTGTAGTTGAATTTTCTCGCATATCCACATAAGTTTTATAGCAGTGATGATGCATACGCTGAGTGAAAGTTACTGGTGGCGTGTGTTAAGCAGGAGCTACTTAGCTAACGCTGTAGGAGCCGCTTAGCTAGATACCACTGCGGAGATGTTCACTGTCCGCATTCTGAATGTATTCAGTGTAGATACCAGGAAAAAAGGTGAATTTTTCAACAAAAGAATGAGCTGTACCATCGCTTCATCGCTTCAGGCCTTCGTTTTTTTTTTTCTCCCCCACCTGCCTTGATGCTGGCTCTTGTCCATGAAGTTGTGCTTTCTGCAAATTGCTAACATCAAGAAGCATTATCAAGCGAATGATGGAAAAAACACATTAAATCACATTTGACAAGTTTGAGAAATCTTTATAGGAAATTTTAATTAGATTTGAAACCACATACAAATGTGGCTTAGGATTTATTGGGGGGAAAAAAATCAGTTTGTGTGTTTTTTGTGCTCAAACCCTAACCCTTTTGTATTCAGCCAAGAAATCCAATTTGCTTCTCTAAACAAAGTTGTAGTGTTTTGTCTGTTATACCAGACGTGTGTATTTGTATGACCACCCCATCCCCCACTCCCCCTGAAATGTACTGTCAGCACTACATGTGGGTTTGATCATAACCTCCACGCTGTGTTCAGTACTTTTTCCACTCTGTGCTCCTTAGCTATGCAGGCAGGCAGCACGCTTTCACCTTGCTCGTGCCGATAGTTGCTTTCATCTAGGCCAAGCAGGTCAACTGTTCCAGCGCCCCAAACACAGCCCTCTCAATTGCAGCATCCTCCCCATGAAATAATCATTCCTGCTGGAGGACACAGGCTCAGCTACAGGTTCAACCTTACTCTCTAACCCTATGGCTCTGGCAGGCTGTGACTGAGGTTGCCCTTGCCCTTATTTTGCCCAAGACACACATTCACATGCACACACACACACACGCAGCACAGCACAACCAGCTGTCTGCTTTTTAAGACTTAGTTTTGAATTTTGTACAATGAGAAACTCCTTCCTGATTGAAATGGAGCGCGACACGCCAACCGCAGCAGCTCGGATCCAAACAGTGGTGGAGTTAGCCAGGAGGAGGAGAGGCCAGTGAAAGAGCCTTCACGCGGCTGCTATGGCTCTCGCATCTTAATGGAGATGCAGTGGCTGTGAATGCAGGGCTTGAATGAGAGACGGCTGGCATGGCTCAGGGTCCTGTGGGTTCAGGGCCAGCTTTCGAACAGACTGTGGGGGTCCTCGTGAAAGCAGGGCAGCAAATGCTGTTTGATTAAGGGAAAAGCCAGAACTCATGTCACCAATGACAAATTATTGTGAAACTATTGAGATTTGATAGATTCATTTTTGAAAGTTTGGTATCTATTGATGTAATAGTGAACTGAAATTCATTATACACTACAATTATTAGGGCTTATTTTTCTTCCTGCAGTTACAGAACTACTTATAAGTGTAGGATGTGATCAACAAATCTTTGTTACAAACTTACAGAAGTGAAAGGACATTACATTTTACATTTACTGAATCTCATTTATACACCTGAGCAGTTCAGGGGTAAGGGCCTTGCTCAAGGGCCCAACAGGGGCAGTTTGGTGGTGCTGGGATTGGAACGCACGGCCTTCCAATCAGCAGTTTAATGCCTTAACCACTGAGCTATGACTGCCCATCACATTGGCTTTTTGTTTAAAAATACATTTTTAAATACATTTTTACATCTCCACCAATACCTGCCTTAATACTTTTTCCATTACTGACAGGAAAAAGGGCAGGCCAGACATAATATACAGACCACTGATTAATTTGAGCAAGTTTCATATAATCTCCATGGTTAATAACTTTTTCGACGAGAATGGCACAGAAAAGAAATGATTGAGCACCTGTAATTACAAACAGCTCTTTTATTGTGACATAGTTTCCTTTCGAATATAGAAGTCACATTATTCACTAGAATTAGCGTGTCCTGCTGTCGTGTTTTTTCCACTGGAGTGAATTCTGCTACTTTTATGTCTGTAAAAGCATTTCCACCGTACTTTTGCATATTTCATGCGTCAACAAAATCAAATGTCAAAATTCTTCACTAAAATCAAAAGATTTGTTAATATTTGTAAAATATTATAGATACTTACATTTACATTTATTTATTTATCTGGTTAATGCTTTTATCTAAAGCAACATACAAGTGAGACAGGATACAATTACTTTATTTCAATTGCCTGCATTGGCAAATATTTCACTAGAATAAAACATTTTTCACATAAAATCCTTTGGATGGAAACCTACTTGAACAAAACCTAAAACTGTAATTCTAACTGAGCTTAATATTGATCCAGCAGCATGTACTGTTGCCAAAAGGTGAGAAACATTCAGCAGTTAAGTGACAAATCTTACTCATGTTGCTCATGAGGCTTTTCATCAATTGAGAGAAGAGACTCAGGGTAACTGACTGTTAAGTGACTGGCCTTGCTCAAGGGTCCAACAGTAGCTCTCTGCCAGTCCTGGTATTTGAACTCACAAGTAAAGAGTACCTTAACAACTGCCCATGTGGTACCAGTTTTTAGATTTGTGTGGGTGTGGGAGCATGTTTTTACATCTTGCAGATTATTATTTTTTTTTTAAAAAGAAAAAAACCTTAAATAAAAGAGCCAAAAGGTTTGCTTCTGGTTACTGAGGTTAAGGTTAGGGTTAGATTTAATTAGGTTTAGGGTTAGATTTAAAGAAGGCTTAGTTTTTGGGTTAGCATTAATTAGCTGCATTAATAATTATACTAACGTGTGTGTGTGTGTGTTTTTTTGTATGATATGCACCAAAGAGCCCTGATTGTGCTGTAACACCAGTTCTTTATTTGTATGTGTCTGGGTTGTTGTCATGGTCAGTGTGGGTTAGATCGCACGCGCACACGAGCACACGCACACACACACACACACACACACACATACACACACATTGAGAGAGCATCATGTTCATAATGTGACACACTGATGCTAGCAGTTCATGTTCTGATGTTCTGTGCCAGATTACTGCTCTGCCTTTTACCTTGTTACAATCTGCAAGCAGTACATCCAGATTGTGGAGATATGACGTCTGACTGTCTCATTCTCACAGTCATGTACACTCTCTGCACACACACACACACACACACACACGCACGCACTCTCTCTTGTTCTTTCCTCCCCTCCTCCCCATTCCGACTCTTCTCTATTTCTAGTCTTTGCCTGCCCTCTAAAGGCCAAGAGGCTGCTCACTGGTTGTGTGTATGTGTCTGTGTGTGTGTGGTGTGTATATTTGCATGCAAGTTCCTCAAGTGGCAAAAGCACAAACATTGGACCTGAATTCTTCTGCTCCTGTTCCACGCTGTATGTGTGTATGAAAAAGCACATGGCATACGGAGCCTAATTACAGACATTCACATCTAATCCTCCAGGTGTTTTATTTATCTGCCAAGCACAGTTTTTGCCACAGTAAGCCAATACCTGGGCTCACTTCAATCACTCTCCATGATGCACGAGCCAATATCTTACTAAATCCAGGCCAATCATGTGTATGTGTGTGCATGTGTGCACTGACAGATGTGGATTTCATGGGCCATTGTGAAGAATAGGCAATGGCTCATACCATTGTCCTGGGGGAGGGAGGCCTGCACGTAGCTTGCATTTATCAGCAACTGCTTTGTGTGTGTATGCGTGTGTGCTTGTTTGGGAAGGTGCACGCGCCTCAGCTTTTGTCACATTCCGGGTTTCGGCCTGTCAGATGCTTTGACATGGCGGCGGTAGGGAGCAGCTCTCTCTCTGAGCCAATGGGTTTGATACAGGACACCATGGGAAAGTAAACAGAAGCGAGTGTTGTGTCATCCTGATTTTAAACAAGACACTTGTCTGGCAGTGAATATGAAAAGCTCTTATGCCTTTTCTTTCTCATATTCATGCATGCTTGCATTTCCAAGGATGTAGATTTTAATTACTTTCCTAAATGCTCAATGTCAGTTCATTTTTATCTCCCACTTTAAATAAGGCTTCAGCGCAGTGCTCATACACTACAACTACTTGTGCATTAGGGTCTGTCTGAGTGTTTTGTAAGAATATGTATCCATTTTCATTTGAGTCCTTCATTGGTATTTCGCTGTAAACAGTGCTAATAAGGAAAAGACTGCTCATTGAGGAGATGGTATTATTTTCTTTTTTGTTGTTGTTGTACAAAACTTTTAATTTGGATAATTTTGTTTGGAAAATGTATGATGATGTTCTTTCAGCTGCTCCTGTTAGGGGACGCCACAGTCGATCATTGGTCCACATATTTGATTTGGCACAGTTTTTACGCAGGATACCCTTCCTGATGCAACCCTCCGTAATTTTATCTGGGTTTGGGACCGGCACTGGGAGTGTACTGTTGTGTGCGACCCCAGTGGCTGTTTTTGGTTCCCTGGACGGGAATCGAACCTGGGCCACGGCGGTGAGGGCATCGAGGCCTAATCACTAGTCTTCCAGGGACCCTTGGAAAATTTATTATAATAAATTTTATTATAATAAATTTTCCAATCTTTTATTCATGGAGAAATCATTCAAAACGATTTGATGGAAAAAGCCACAATTCTAGAGAAACTCGCTGAGTCGGATCCAGAGTTCTGAAGTAGCGGTGTGTCTGGGACTGTTTTTTAAAATGCCACTTCCGCCTGCTCCTGAAAGAATTCTGACCAATCCTGCCCACTTCCACATTTATTACTTTTGTTTGTACCTGCCCATGATGTTTTCTAGTGAACTCATTTGGTTCAAATTCAGAAAATATAAACACGTTGATCATTTAAACCAGCATGACCTGGCCAGGGTAAAGTATGGAGTGCTGTAAATGCAACGCCTCGTTCAGCATGCTCTAATGTTAATGAAAGTGTCATTACTTTGTACTGCAAGCTTTATATCTGACTTCTTGCTCCACACCTGCTTCCAGGAGTATTTTGGGTCTCATAGGATCCAATTCCCAATGCACAACTACTTTGAAGTATACAAAGTCTCTAAAAGCTACGTCAAATAATGGTTGTAAACTAGTTGTTTTGTGCCAAGGTAATTTTTTCTTTTTTTTAAACTAGTATGCTTACTGTCCCTTTAGAGAGTTCATTACTTAGCCTATAGCCAGAGCCAGTCAACACCAATGCAGTAGTGTACTATGAAAACTATTTCTAGTTTATAATATGAAAAAAAAAAAAAAGAATCAGAATGGAGCAGCTGGTGCATCATTTTCAGTAGCTAACTGCCAGCAGCTCCTCTTCTATTAGCCTTAACTTGCAAGTGTTAATTTACTGTTATGTTGCTACGAAAAGCTGTCTATCTTGGCTAAGATGTGCAAGGTCTTGCAAGAAACAATAATATCCAAAGAAAACTGAGTTTTACAGATATGCCACCATTTTCTCCTTACTAAAATCTCAGCAAACTTGGCAGCAGGTAGTTTGAATACCTTTGCTTGTAAGTGTGACCCTGATTTGTGTCACAAACTCTGTAAAGAAATCAGTTTAGAAAGCCAGTGCTTTTCTTCAGCGTGAATATGTTTACTTCTCAACGAGTGAAAACGTTCAGGAATTTTCCAAAATAAGGAATTACACTTTGAAAACCCTTTAAAGGAGGCCTCTGCTGCTTATTAGATGAATTGCAGTAGCAATCCACACACTGCATATGGCTGTGTAGCCAAGATTTGCATCTTTGCATGCTTTGCATCTGGGGCTATGAACTAACCTTCCAAACAAGCAATAAACGTGCTCTCCACAAAACAGAAAGATGCAAACTGCTTGCTCTTCTTCAGTCAGCCTGAACCGACTTCGTAGCATGTTATTTTGCATTAAAGTAACTCAGATGTCTTGCAAATTGACTTCAAACCCATTGGTCCTGTAAAACTCTGCATAGTGTAAATATTGCAGAGTGTAAATATTACAGTAGGCATTCCTGCATTTATATTATTATGCCTGAATAATCTTTGAAGAAGATTTATCCTGATATTCACATGACCATATACACTACGAAACTGTACACCATCACAAGAAGCAGCAGTGCAGTCGCTGCCTCATGGTGCCTCAGTCTAACTCTGATGAGCGTCAACCATTCAAAAAAAAAACATCTTGCTGTTCTAACTAAAAGTGGCTCTAAATCCTTAACTATTTTACTGGATGCATTTCAAGCATGGTTACACTGATTTAAAAAATTTGGAATGGTGAATATGGGGGAAACAGCTTCCAACATTGATCTAAGAGGCAACTCATTCATTAACTAGTATCAGAAATCTATAGTATATTTAAGTAGTAAATTATAGAATTTTTTTTTTTTTTTTTTTTTTTTTTAATACAGTAGTTATGTGCTCCGATTCTGTTCTCAGGATGCCAGGTACCCTGAAGTTTAAAGTTTAATGACAAATTATTGGAAGCACAAAACTTTTTTTTTTTTTTTTTTTTCCTTTTCCTCTCAAATGCTGCTTTCAACCGTTGATAAGCACCGCTTTTTCAGAATGCTTCATAAAGATATCAGGAAACACTGTTTGATGTAACTCTTATAAAGTAATATTTTGGCCTTATTCTTCTTCCATATTTTCTTTCTTTCTCAATACAGCTCTACTACTTGCTCAGACATTCTGAATATCATGGTGTATAGAGATGACCTGTCAATGTGCACATTGCCTGTGACCTCGAACACAAACATCTACCATTACGCCTGCACTTTTAAAGTAATCAATTGCTGAAGAGAAATAATGGAGATGTTTGTTTACCAGGTCACTGGATCCTCACCTGGTATAGTCATTTGTGACTGAAAACCTTGTCTTTTTCTCACATGCACAAAGCAAACATATTGGCTTTTGACAGCAGCAATTCTTCCAAGCATCAACATTTTCACTTGCAGGATTGCTGGAGTGCTGCTGCCAAGTTCACAAATGGGTTTAGGAGTCAAGTGCCATCAAGTACAGTTTTCTTTAGAAATGCATTGACTGAAAGCATAGAAAGAGGCCACACTTGACGTGGGCTGATCAAGACCTACTTTGTGCTTAAATGTATGTCTGAAAGAGAAACCTAATTAATAGTAGCTCAATAGATAGATATACACAGCAAGCAAGATCACATGAGATTAAATATATATTTTTCATTCTCTTAAACACATACTGATAAAGGCATATGGTTGATATGAGACAAATGTTAATAGTGAAGTTAATGTCCATGTATACACTTATTTTTTTAATCAAAATGTCTGTTTACTTAAAACAAGTAATTTTTTGCCTCAAATTATATTGTTTCTGCAAACAAGTAGTGAGGAGCTTGGCCTATTTACAAGGTTTAAAAAAAGCATCCTAGGTGAATCTGGTTGAAAAGATGCCAAAAGTGTGTTTTTCTTTATTATTGAAATAATTGTAGAAAATAATAAAAATGTAGCTCTGAACAGCCGTGTCCAAACTTTTGACTTGTAGTTCAGTCGAAGAAGAGCCAGAATGTCCAAATTGTAATATGATGCTGGAATTAATTTAGTTAGTAGCTCCTACTTTAACTTTGTTGCACTTATTTTTCTCTCACCATAAAAAAGCTTATCAGGCCCATATTAGTGATGCTGTGAAATTCTGTGCATTGGTGTTTTATATGAAGTGACAGATACGCAGTGTGTGAAACGACGCTGCAGCACACTGCTCGATTAGGTCAATGTCAGTGTGTGACTTGATCAGACTAGCCATCATTTCATTGTCACAACTAGTTTGCCATGGAGTGTGAAGCAGTAGCCTAAAGGAACAAGTGGCAGGCAGATCATTTTGTGTGTGTGAATGTATCCACACTGTGTCCCCTGGCTGAACCCTGCTACAGTATATTCTCCCTTATGAACTTTAAACCTTAAACCATTAAAAACATTTCATATTCAGCTTGAAAGTTAGTAGTCATAAAGCCATAAGGAATAAACACACCTTGTGGTTAACCGGAAAGCCACACTCGTGCCACTGGGGCTGTAGAACGTGAATAAGGCGTACAGCAATGGCCAGGTAGCAGCAGTGCTGACTTCTTAAAATGGTACTTACAAGGTAATTTCCAGTTGATTGGTCCAGTGTCCATCAAATAGAAATGGAGCACAACTGGCCAGAGGTTTGGGAGATGGACAGTTCTTAGCACTGCAGTAGCACTGACATGGTAGTGACATGTTATTGAGGTGTTGTGCTGTGGTATCATGTGGATGTCAGGCACAGTAGCATTGGTAGAGTATAGTATAATA